GAAAGACCTTATAAAACTATATAAATATATGGAAAGCAAATGAATATGTTTAAAGCATTGTTTTTTCTTAACAACAATGGGACGATCCATATAAATTTCATTTTCATGCCATGACTTTTTCTTTTCAGGCCTTACTCCTTGACTATTTTTAAATTGTAATTATTTTCTGTTCATTTAATTTATTTAAATTAAAAGCTAGCTGGCAACTTTAGGCATTGCTTAATAAATAAATAATTAACATTACTTATAGGTGGTAAAATAGAATGTATTTCAAATTCTAGTCGGAAATATAGTTTTTGAAAGTTTTCACTATCATGCAATCCCTGTATAATAATCCATATTAGGTCTTAAGCTTCAGTTAATATTACAACAATAGTTGATTATACTGAAAACTCGCCTTAGTTAACTTTAACTACAACTAATATATTTTCTTATAGTAACATTTTCCTACTTTGTTAATAATATCGTAAGTCCCATTGCTATTAATGATTGCATTTTTCCTAACAAATTTTTCTCCAGACATCCGAGTTCTTGATAGCTTCTCACTGAGCAGCAACTTCTGTAGCAGCTCCCAGGTCTTATGGCTTGCCTATATCACAGCAATCTACCATATATAGCATGCCCGCATTATTTGTCTAGGTGTCTGCTGATCAGCTTTGCAAGTGCCTTGTCGAAGGTGTCGCCTGTCGTTCGTCTCGTTTGTCGCTTGGGGTAGGCGTCTCTCTCTCTCCCTCTCTCTATCTATCTCTCCCTCAACCTCTCTCTTTCTCTCTAGCTGGCTGTGTGATAGTCTCGTTTGTTTCGCCTGCATTTGGAAAAGTCAGAGCTTAATATGCTTGTGGGTGTTATTGTGGGTAGTTAAAACTATTTTCGTCACAGCAATCGACGCATTCGCTTTAAAAGCTCATCAATTTTTGTAATTAGTGTAGTTCTCGAGTCGGAGATGTGTCTCTGCCGCTTACATAAGTGAAATAAGACACACATCTACAAGCTATAAGTAAAAGTTGAGAGTATATAGATATATAGAAAAGTTTGGTTCCTTTTGCAGTGTTGGCTATCGCTGAAATGTTTTTCTTTCCTATTCGGAACTGTCGCACACGATTGCGCAGCGTCGAAAAACTTTAAAAGAAAATGAAAATTCCCAAAGGAAGCATAGATAATGAGCACAATGCCACCCCAGTGAAAACTCGCCCAGCCGGACCAAGTCAGTTGGTCGATGCGTCAGTGCGTCAACTCGTCAGTTGGCCAGCTCGTCAGTTGGCCAGCTTGTCAGCCCGGCTGGGTCGCCTTCTGGCCACGAGTGTCAGCCATTTTGCCAGTGCCACAATGGCAGCAGCGGCGTCCAAGCATATTGCCATTGTGCCTGCTTCTCCACTTGTCTGTCGCCCCGTCTCGCCTCGTCTCGTCTCGAGTCGACTCTCTCGACTGGGTCGCTGTTGGCGTCGACGTCGACGTTGGCGTCGGCATTGCCTGTCTCTGCTTTTGTTTTTAGCCATTGTTTGTGGGGGCTCTGTGGCTGCCGCTTTTGCAACATTTGAATGATTCTCGTTGGTCGTGTCAGTCCCACGGGTAATTATTGACACGGTTGTATGCACGCAGCCCAAAAATACATACACAGAGAGAAACTGAGCAGCAGCTAAAGCAACAACAACAACAACAAGGCGAGCACAAAAGCTTTGCCACGCGAAATAATAAAAAAGCCAACTCGAAATAATAATGAAAATGTCGGCATCGCTTTGCGGAAAGGGAACTGCGACGAACTATGTTTTGTGAGCCGGACCTGAGGTGAGGTGGTTGTTAAGGTGCTGCCCCTGGTTGGCAGCAGGGGGAGGGGGTGGTTCTGGCTGCGGCTGCGGCTTCGACTTCAGCTTCGATGTCGGTCGCACTTAACACGCACGGCCACATTAAAACCAATGAAAACTACAATTTGCCATCTTATATGACTACATTTTTATCATATATGACCATAATGTGAATAAGCATTTATAGCCCCCTTGTGCTGCGGGCATTAGAACTATGTCACAGGGCTTGACACGCGGCAGAGAGTACTCGAATAATACCCTATATGTACACAAATGTGCACTACCTTTTAATGAGCTTAGGTTGCGGCATAGCTAATTGATAGCGCCCTTTTCTAATGCCTGATTTATTGGTTAAATGCAAGTGGTAAGGAATTTGGAATATGATTTATCATATATGTGTGCAGCCAGAAGCTGAATAAAGGCCTATATAGAAGAATAATTGAACTGAAAGCTGAATTTAGATCTAAGTTAAAGGAAACTTTAGCTAGAACTTAAATATAGGCCTACATTGAAGGCTACTTGAACTGGAAGCAAAATAAAGGCTTATATTGAAGGATACTTGAACGAGAACTAGAATATAGAACTATATTGAAGGATGGAAACTTGAAGCTGAAAAGTCCGCACGTCTAAAGACATTTGCTGGCAATTCAATCAAAGTAAATATATGCTATTTTCTAGACCAAAAGTTAGCAGATTCCTAAATCTATTTCCCTGTTATTTTAATTCCAAATATATTAACTTTTAATAAGTAAATCTAAAATGACCCTCTTTCTAGTAAATTTCAAGTAGAGCATGCAAACTTCGTTCTGCTATGGTCAAACTTGACTTCTGGTTACTTAGTTGAAAAAGTTATTTAGCCTAGGGGCAGGTTTTATCTATGTGGGTGTGTTTGCAACGTGCTGTGTGCGGGTGTGTGTGTGCTCGCACAACAACCCCAAAATGGCAGGTGGCAATAGATATATGCTTAGGCACTGTAGGCAGCCATGTTTTTTTTTATCACATTTAATTCCCTTCCCTTGTCTTTTATTTTAGATAGTAATTAAGAGAACTGCCTATAAATATATTGTTCGAGAGCACGAGGCGCAGCGCGTGGGCGTTTCAGAGAATAAAACACAAATTAGAGAGTTGACTTTAAACAGGTTCAAATTAAAAAGAAAAATGAAAAATGCACACACTTTGGCAATAATAATAATAAATAATAATTTTCGAGTGTTATTTTGTTTTGATAAAACATGAAAGCCGACGCATAAATACAAATTATTGCAATTACGCTTCTGTATTATATATCTGTAATATATATATATAAGTATAAATATATATATATATCTGTACAATTTTATTTTTGAGGCCTCAAACTGGCTTTCAATTATGCGCATTTGCAATTTGTTTGTTTTATTCTGCATTTAATTTTTGTTTTTTATTTATTATTTTTATTATTATTATATTTTCGACTTAAAAACGTTAGAGGCTGATGCAATTTTTATGCAAAATTACCAACCGAAATATTTTGTGCATGAAATTTGTAATCAGCTTCCAGAGAAATGTGCAAAATAATAAATGCATCTAAATTATGGGCTTAATGCAAATAACGTGCACCACATTCGAGTAAAGGGCAATGAGCAGGCGAATACTATAAAAATAAATATAATAAAAATACTATAATCGGAAGTTAATAAATTATAAATCAAACAAAGTAACCAAGTAATTTGTTGCTAAGTAAGTCAAAACGGCAAGACTTGAGCCTGATTTAAGTTTATATCTGTTCAAATAAGAAATAAAGCCACGTCGCGCGGCTTAACTTAATAAATTTGGCAATTCTTTTAATAATTTCTAACTTAAACTTGTTTTTGGCTTCACGAAGGTTTGATCCCTGAACTTCGAGCTGAGCTTGCCGACGCTTGGCCCATGCCGCTAGCTAAGTACATTTCCTGGGTTTGATCTGCAATCTGTCAGTTATATATCCAGTTTATATAGTTATAATAAATAAATGTTAAATATTTTATATTTGGGCTATTATAGGCCCGAAGTTGACTTCAATGAGCTACACGCAGCTTTATTTAAAGCCCTATAAAAAGCGAATCAAATAAAACGCTTGCTAATGACAGCCTACATTAACCCTCCCCGCTGCAGCAGTGGAGCGGGGGTTGGGGAGGGGTTGTTATTAGTTAATTGTGACGTAGGCAATCGCATTATAATGTGCCCACTTAATTGTTAATTGCTTTTCGAACACTTTAAATAAACAAAAAAATAATAATACCCGTAATTATCGCAATGGAAATCGGGATCAGAATCGGAATCGAAATCGGAATCCAATTGGGAATCGGCTTGGCATCGGCTGGCGCTCAAAACATAAGGGAGGGCGGGAAGGGTGCCCCCCCTGTAATGTGGCTGTAAAACTGTCAGGCACAGCGACTCGTAAACTGTAAATGGCTAACGACCGTAATGAGCCGCCGTTAACGCTAATTAAATAATAATAAAAGGACATTTTGGCAAATAAAATTCTTGTTTTTTTTTCGAATAATATTCTCTTTTATTTGTTTTTTTAAGGTTTTTTCTTTTGTTTTTTTTTTTTGCTTTGTTTTCTTGGTTTTAAATTTCTCTGTGTTTAAGTGTGTGTGTGTGTGTGTGTGTGTGAGTGTGTGGTGGTGTGGTTGTGTGTGTGTGTATTTGTGGTGGAATGCACCGCTTTGTTGACTTGGTGCTTCCATTTGTTGTAGCATAATTTATTATACAATTGAGGGCATGGCTTAAACATTAATATTTTTTGTTCAACTTCTTCTTCTTCTTCATCATCATTAGCATTATCTTTATCTTTATCATTATCATAATCATTATCATCTGCGGACAAGTACTCTCATCTCCTTCGCTCTTCATGCATAGTTTTCAACATACCAAACAAAATAACTAAACAAAAGTGTTTTTTTTTTTTTGTATTTTAATTACACCCAAAGAAAACTAAAAGCAATTTTAAGTAATAGTTAAAAGTTTGCGTATTTATATTTTTGTTTTTTTTTTTCCATTTTCTTTTTGTTTTTATACAATAAAAAATTAAAAAACGGCCACTTCTATAAAAAGTTGTACGTATATCAAAAAACACGAAGCACGTTTTGTTTTCTTCCTTTTTTTTTTTTTTGTTTTACACATCTATTATTTTTTGTTTGAAATAATTTCAGCTTTTTATTAAGTTTTTTTTCTGTTGTTTTTTGGACTTTTTTTCAAATTTACATCAATTATATATTTTACAATTTAGCTTTTGTTTCGTGTACTTGATTATTTTTCGTTTAAATTTTAAGATTTAGCTATATGTGTGTGTGTGTTTGTGAGTGTGTGTGGTTGTGTGTAGGTGTGTGTATTTTCGATTTGCTTATATAGAAAGTACAGTACTAAGTAACTAAACTTCTTGTGCCTATTCATAAAATTAGCGCCTAGAAATTACAATTTATGTTTATTTCATGATTTTCGCTTCATTTAGGTTGTTTTTTTTTTTCTTTTTGTTTTGTTTGTCACTTCCATATTATTTCTTTTAATTGTATTTTTGTTTATGTTTTTTGTTTATTAAAAAATCTACAATTGCATTTAAAGCTAAAAATATGACTTAACTGTAGTTTTATTTACAGAATGTTTGCTTCTCTTCTCATTTACTTTTTGTATTCTTGACTAAATTCTAAGTTTTGTTTTTATGTTTTTTAACTTTTGTCATATATATATATATTTATATAGAGTACAATCTACTGGCTATGTGTGTGTGTGTGTGTGTGTGTATAACCTATAACCCTAGCTAGAACCGAGTCATTAGAGTCTGCGGTGGCGGCTTGAACCACTTGAGCGCTACAATATTTATTAATTATATTCATTACATTGGCTTAAAAATTAATTTTTTATTATTCTTTTGTTTTTTTGTTTTTTTTTTTTTTTTGCTAAATCTCTTAACCCACACGGGCGACAAAGTGTTGCGAAACGTTAGCTAGGGGCAGGGGGGCGGGGGCGTGGTTGGTGGTCATATGGTTGTAAGATTTACCTTGCTTGATGGAATGCAGCTGTTGTTTTTTAAGTGTTTTCGCGCATTTCCCAACACTTGTCGCACTTTAGCTAGTTATCGATATACGATTCGATCCGATTCGATTCGATTCGATTTTAATTCGTTTTCTTTTTTGTTTTATTTAATTTAGATTTAAAAACAACATCACTTGGTTTCACGTTTGATTTGAATTGCGTGTTTTTTTTGTTTTGTTTAAATTTTTACATCGAGTTTTAGAAAGTTTTTGAAACTTTGAAAGTTTGGAAACAAAAATAAATGTATGTATATAAAAAAGAAACGACAGGCAGAGGCGGCAGGCGGCGGTGCCAGGCTGTATATATATATATATGTATATATGTGGATATATATGTATATAGAAGAGTATTCAACTAACCGATCGATCCACTGCCCTAACTACTACTTAGTTCAAGTTGTAACACAGATTAATGCACTGGTAAAAGTGTGGCGTGTGTGGAGCAGCCCTTGGACGACGACAACGACGAGGACGAGGACGAGGACGAGGTTGTGGTCGCTTTTAGGGCTGCTCGCGCTTGCATTCCGGCCACCCGTCTGGCATTGTGTCCTAGGAGGACTCGTAGCCAAACCAGGCGGCCGACGAATGCTATTCACCGCCCGCACCGCCGCCACCAAAGCTATTGAAATGACGCACTGCACCCGGCGCGGCGGCAGCACCAAACTGCAGACTCAGCTCGAAGAGGCGACGGGCGTGCAGCTGCTGCTGCTGCTGCTGATGATGATGGTGCTGCTGGTGATGATGGTGCTGGTAATGATGATGCTGGTGCAGCGCCGCCGCCGAATGGGCATTCAGATTGAGATGTCCGCCCAGCACACTGGACGCCGAGCCCGGCGAGGCGGCACTGGGCGGCTGCAGGGGCAGCCCGCTATTGCTGCCCGCTCCTGGCGAGAGCTGAGAGCTGCTGCTGCCGCCCGTCTGCTGCGACTGCAGATGCTGGGCGTGCGGATGCTGCAGCTGATCGCTGGTATGGAATAGGTGCGGATGATGCGCGGGATTCAGATGCGGATGCTGGTGCGGATGATGGGCATGGTGCGCGTGTTGGTAGCGCATGGGATCCATGTACATGGCAGCTGCTGCAGCGGCTGCTATGCTGGATGCCTGCTGTTGTTGTTGCTGTTGTTGTTGCTTCACTTGCTCCTCGTTGTTGTTGTTGTTGTTATTGTTGGTGCTGCTATTGTTGTTGTTGTTATTATTATTCGTCTGACCACCAGCTGAGGAGCTGCCCAAGGGGCTTTGCGGCGACATCACCTGACCCTGACTAGTCATCGTCACCGAGGAGCCCGCACTAGAAGAGGGCGTATTGGGCGTGAGCTGCTGCTGCTGTTGTTGCTGCTGCTGCTGCTGTTGCTGCTGTTGCTGTTGTTGTTGGTGTTGCTGTTGTTGTTGCTGTTGGTGTTGCTGCTGTTGCTGTTGTTGCTGGTGCAGACTGTTGGCAGGAGTGGACGCAGCTGCAGCTGAGTTCGACTCCTGGATTTCTGATTGCTAGTGAGCCGCCAATTGATGCGCCGACTGCATGTTCTGGGGGCTCAGCATGGGCGGGCTGTGGCTGTGCGAATGGTTGCCCATGGGACTGCCGTGCATGTCGTGGTGGGAGTGATAGCCACCGTGATGCATATGGCCCGGTGGCATGCCGTCCATCATATCGCCGCCGAGCGTGTTCGGCGGCGTCATGCGCTTCTCCTTCTGGCGGCGATTGCAGAACCACACGCGCACCACCTCCTTCTCCAGCTGCAGCGAGTCCGCCAGCGATGTGATCTCCTGCGCCGAGGGCTTTGGCTGCTTGTGGAAATGCTGCTCTAGCGCACCCTTAACGCTCACCTCGATGCTGGTGCGTTTCTTGCGCTTGCGTCCCTGTGCGGCGATCTTGTCAATGCTCGTCGGCGAGCCGGTGGTGGAGTCCGCCTCCTCGAGCCATTTCTGGAGCAGCGGCTTCAGCTTGCACATGTTCTTAAAACTTAACTGTAGAGCCTCGAACCGGCAGATGGTCGTCTGCGAGAAGACGTTGCCGTACAGGGTGCCCAGGGCCAGGCCGACGTCCGCCTGGGTGAAGCCGAGCTTGATGCGTCGCTGCTTGAACTGCTTGGCAAATGCCTCCAGGTCGTCGGATGTGGGCGTGTCCTCCTCACCGCCGCTGATCGCGTCGCGATCGCCGCCACCGCCGCCCATGTGATGGGCGTGTATGTGCAGCTGCGGCGACTCGCCGCGCAGCGCATGATGCAGTGGCGCCACCTGCGCCGCATGATGGGCCGGATGATGATGCAGCATGCCGTTCATGGCCGCATGATGATACTGCAGCGGCGATCCGCCGGTGGGTGCATAGTGACCCGCATGCGGGGCATGCCACGCAGCGGCCGCGTGCGGCGAGGCCATGCCCTGTTGAATGCGCGTCTGCTGCGTCAGATGTGACATCTCCTGCTTGACGGAGTCAACGGCTGCGGCAGCGGCGGCGGCGGGATGATGATGCGTCGTATGATGTGTGGGCAGCGACCACGGATCCGGATGCAAGGCGCTCCAGCTGCCCAGGCCCGAGCCGGGCGTCAGGCCGCCCAAACTGTTGCCCTGCCCGCCGCCCTGCACCTGTCCGTTGGGCGATGGCGACGACGGCAGCTGCTGCTGGTGGTGCGATGCCGAGGCGGCGGCCGCAGCAACGGCCGCATGATGATGATGATGATGCTGCATGTACTTCATCTCACCGGCATCGGCGGCAGATCGGGGCGAGGATGTGTGATAGCCACCGCCGCCGCCGCCCAGCGCCATGTCGAGATCGCCGCTGGGCGGCGTCATGTAGGAGGTAGCGGCCATCCCCACCGCTCTGGGGCTGTTCAGGCCCTCCACGCTGGCGGGGTAGGGCTCCAAGTTGGGGCTCAGTTTAACGACTTTGTAGACCGATCGATCGAAAGGAAGACCTGAGTCCCTATGCTCATTCCACTCGAACCGTGAGGCAACCGTCTTGAAGTCTTTTACTGGCAACGTGGCGACGTAAATATGTGGGCGTGGCGGCCGATCGCGCGACTCGCACACACACGCAGCACACACTCAACACACAACCGCGCACACGCTCACACACGCAACACACACACACACAGTCAACAAGTTTCGTCACCGACGGCCCGACGACGACAAAAATGTTGCACGGCAAAATTGTTGTGTGGATATTTCGTAAAAATTGCGCAGTTTATCAAAAAATTTACTTTCGATTTGGCTTTCGTATATATTTTATTTAATTGTGTGATTTATTTTTTTGTTTTCTGCTTCTTCTTGTAATTGTTGCACTTTGTTGCTTTTTTTAACACTTGGCACTTGGACAATATTTTGCGTATTTCGTTGTTGAATTTACGTTATATTTGTTGCTGCTGCTGTTGTTGTTTCTGTTGCTTTTGTTGTTGTTGTTTATTTTTTTTTCGTATAATTGTTGTTATCGTTGTCAAGTCACAAACACATCATCTTCAACTGGATCGAGAAGAGCTTGATACAGATTCAGATGCGAGACGAGATTCGGCATTCAGAATTGTGATTGAGATTTTTGTCGGATTCGGATCAGCCACACAGCGCACATAACAACAATAATAATAATAATATGAAATACACACAGAGAGACGGGCGCCCAGACACACACTGCTGAGGAGAGTCGAGTCTATGGGACAAATTCACGTGCAAACTCGTAGAGCTATCGAAGTGAACTAACGTCATGCAGCGGCCAGCGGCGCTACGTAGACGGCGCTCTCGACGGCGGCCGACAACGACGACAACGACACGCACACACACACACACACACACACACACACAGGCACACACAGGCATACACGCACAGCTGTATTGGGCTCGCGCGGCGAAACCAGTTTTCAACCCGTGTCTTCCAATACGCCATGCGCGCAAACGAGACGGCATGCGTGCGACTATTTGAAGGTAGCGCGCGCAAGCGAGATGGCCGCTGAGAGCACACGTAACTGGAAGTCGACTTGCGCTCTATTGGGCTCGACGGCTGGCTGGCTTTCCAGTGCCGCCCACCAAAAAGCAAGCAAGCAAGCAGCGTCGCATTCCCATGCAGAGTGACATTTTTAATTGCCAGGCAGCCGGCACAAGGGAGAGCGAGAGCGCAAGAGGCGCGCGCAGTGGCCTTTGTTAGACGCGACGCGAAAGCTTTTCCGCACAGGATTGCGCGCCGGCCACAGGAAGCTTTGTTCAGTTCGCTCTGGCACTTTGGGCTGCCAACTTTTGCTTTCATTTTGTTGGTGTGCCGTGTGCTGTGTGTGAGTGTGAGTGTGACTATGTGTGTATGTGTGTGTATTATTTTTAGTGGGGCGTGTGCATTGGCAGCACTACAATGGGGCGGGCAATGCAACTGACAACCAACAACCGACAACCGACAACGGGCAATGGGCAACGGGCAAACGGGCAAACGGGCTATCTCTGCGATATCGGAGCATCTAACGCGTCCGAGAACAACTGTAAAATCAGTCGCACATTAATTGAAATGTATCGCGGCAATAAATTTGCATGCAAATGTTACAAATGTTTCAATCTTCGTCCAGTTTTCAGTTCGCAGCTTTTTGTTATGCATATCTGTCAGTTACTTTCAAAGAAAGGCCCATTGTCTATGCGAATACGTGTCTGAGTGAGTGTGTGTGCGTGTGTGTGTGCGTGTGTGTGTGCGTGTGTGTGTGGGCTGGTCTCTGTTTTGGTACTCGCGCTTTGTTTACCGTTAAGCATTCTCCTGTTTAGTTATTGATTTGCAGAACGTGCTAATTTTTTTCCTAATTTTTATTGATTTTACATTTAACAGAATTTGCAAAAATGTAAAAGTCTTTAACTTCTTTTGTACGCTTCTCTCTCCCTCCCTCCCACCATCTCTTTCTCCCTCTCTCTCTCTCTCTGAGCTTTGATTTAGTGGACAGTTAAAACGGCTTCAATGGCATTTAAGCCATTCTCTAAAATGAATGCAACAGTTCGAATACACTGCGCAAAAACGGGAGCATAGAAGTTCGCTTGCCAGAGCTTGTGTCTTGGTCTAATAATATAACACTTGGGTTTTGCCTGGAGAAATATTATGCCAAAGGGTATTTTCTGACTTGCGGGGGGTTTTCTGAATAATTTTCCAATAATTGGTCATTAAAAGCAGCTATCTATAGTTTTTTTAATGGATTTATTAACTGTTAATAGCTTTAATTAACGCCTATATTTTATTTTAATTATAAGCATGCTTATTTTAATTTTCCACACTTCAAAGCATGTGATCTTATTAAAATGATTTTTTTTCTATTGCTTATTTATCATATTGTGATTTTCTTATACTTCCTTTGGCATACACAAAGTATATGTCATTCAATGATAACAGTTATCGTATATTCTTTTCATATAAACCCAACTAACATATATATAGTATTTTAATTTACTCTTAATATTTAGATTAGTTAGTTAGGTTAATATATTATTTTTGAAATTTCTATCATACACATGGAATGCCGCTTTTAAATATCTCTATTCATTGATTTGACATCATCTTTAGCCAAAATTTCTACACTTAGGAACACATCATTTGTTATTGGAGCCCCATAAAAATTGTATATAGTACACATTTGAGCAACCTGTTCTAAATTCTTCCAATCATCAACTAATTGCTTAAACCTGTCCAAATACGTGCAAAATACTTTATAATTTTTTACCTTAAACTGTGCTCTATTCACACACACTCTCTCTCTCTCTCTCTGTATCTCTCTCTCGCTCTGGCTCTCTCCTTATGCTATGCACAACTCTTGCGGCAGGTCAAGAGTCCAGGTTGTGTCAAATATTATGCAAACTAAGGTCAACGCCATCAACAACAACAAACACACACACACACACACGCACAGACGGACAACATTTGCATCAGTTTGTTTACATTTTGTTGTTGTTTATTTTTTGTCCTTTGGCCACACACTTGGGCATAATTAATAAGCCAGAGACAGAGCTAAACAGTCGCCGTCGCCGCGTCAAAGTTTTGTCACCCAACCGAACAACGGTCCTTGGGCGAATTTACATGATAATTAGGCGGGCGCCGCTTAAAAATTAAATGAACAAAAAAAAATACAACCTAAAACGAAAAAAAAATATATTTAAATTTCAAATGACGAAAAATCCTGTTTATGCCGCACCGCCAGCCCCGTGGCCCTCGACGTATGCTAAATGCGCACGCGCCGCGTTTGGTTTTGTGGCCGTGGCAAGGACTTGTTGCATAATTATGCGCCGCATGCGAGTAAATAACACTGCACAACAACAAAAGCAAAAGCAAAAACAAAAACCATAACTAAGCGCTGTATTTATGAATGAAGATCTCGCCTCTGCCCCTCGCCCTCAGCCCGCCTCCGGCGCCGTTGATTTGGATGATAATGAGGCGCGATTAGCATTTTGGCTGCATTTTTTTTTTGCGCTCGGCTCCGGCTTAAGCTCGCGGCCGGGTATCGGGCCTCTCGCACCTAGCTGTCTGCTCGGCGCACTTGCTTGATAATTATTAGCATAATTTTCTTCTTATTTTGCATTAATTTGAGTGTGTGTGTATGTGTGTGTATTGTTGTAGTGCCACCGAAAACAAACTTTGGCATCTGTTGTTGGCAATTAATTTTGGCCATAATTTGTAGACCAGATATAAACTGGTCTCATTTAAGACGCTTTATTTGCCGCGCAATACACAATTAAGGCGCTGCGAGGGAGGCCACTTTTGGACAACTCTTGAGCGCCTAATTGTTGTATTATTTAACGCTTAAATGCATAAAAAGTCAGCAAATGTACGCAAATTAATAGAGAGAACGTTAGACGGAAAGCTGCGGGGAATCCTAATGAAACCTTGCTTTGGCTTGTGCAAGTCTTATGAGTTTCGATTGATAATTGATGGATAAATAAACCTTAGCTGTGAACAAATTGATTCTATGGGCTAGTTATAAATCCGACAATATGCATACGAAGCTTTAAGGAAAATGCAAAAGAAGGTTTTGAGAAATTTCGTAAAAAAAAACCTAACCCAACTCCGCTGTGGTCAAATCTATATTTAGAAGCTTTTTTTCTTACGGCTTGAAAAGAAATAACTACAACATTTTTGTACTGCCAGGACAAATCTTTATATATATACCAATTCTATCCTATATATACCTATCCTACCTCAGTTCTAGCCGCAGGAATTCGCAGAAACCTGATTTCTATGAGCAAGTCAGACAGAGTTTCATACAAAATCATATATGCTGCAGCGCATATCATCTCCGTGCCATTATCATAGCTGCTTTCAATCCCTTTGCCCAACTCATATGCATTTTTAATCCTGCTCTTCGTTTGCAAACAAAACGTTTCATTAGCTAATGTCAAGACTCAGCTGCAGTTTTCATGGGCAATCCAAAAGACAGCGACACACAAGAACCCATCCCAGCAGACAGTCGAGTCGGTCAACTCTTTACCATATGCCCAGAGAGCAGGCACGAAGGAAACCAGAAAAATTGCGCGCCAAAAAGTAGCACACACACACAGCAGACTAAAGACAACAAGCAGCCTTCAATTGAAGAAGCTAACCAAGACAGGAGCTGAAGACAACCCTTTGGCTGGGCTACCCTTACGACAAGGTCAGACGAGCTGCTCACGTAGGCAAATTTGCTCGCAACTCAAGACTCAAACTCCCCCCTTCCCCCTCCGGAGGGTCTGCTTTAACAGCGAGATGCAAGCAACCATTTATCATTTTTTTGGCAATTTGAAATTTGTGCAATTTGGCGATTTTGCGATTTTGCATGCAACGGCCGTTAAAGTCTCTGCTGGCTGCAATAAGGACGCGGCGCTTATCCTTTGGCCTTTATCCTTTCACTTTCGCTACCTACAAACACACACGCACACACACACATACAGAGCACCCCAGCAGTTTGCCAAATTCCAACACAGACACACACGCAGGACTCACTGTCATATGCAAATTAGTTGAGCCCTAAAAAAAAAAAGAAAAATAGAAAATTTTCGCGTCCCGCCAAAACATAAAATACGCAAACGGAACACAAAATGGCAATTGTTGTTGCCATACTTATGGCCCCTCCCCACCCGAACCCCGACCCGGCTCTGGGCCTTCGTCTAACCCATCGGCAGTTGGGTTAAATGCATTTTGGTGCGCCTCATTGGCTTTGGCATTGAGCGACGCGACGCGACGCGACTCGCAACTGTCAATGGGACCAGGCAAAGGGCAAATATGCAAATTAGTTAGCGTTTTATTTTTTTTTTATTTATTAACTAATTTATCTCTGCGCCGCTGTGACACGTCCGCGTCCCATAGGCAACCCGCCAGGGTCGTGAATTATTGGCGAATGGCGGAAACAACGCAGCAAAAAGCGTTGCAACACCTGGTTAGAAATATTTTTTCTCATTTGCGTTTTTTTTTTTGCCGCGGTTTTTTATTGCCTGCCATGAAAAGTGCTCTGCTCTGACATGTTAGTTGCCAATCAGGTCGCTAAGTAGTTAACTAAATGATTGTGTCCTTTCGCATGGCTGTGTCCTTTCGAAAGCCATAAAGGAGACTACGACTTTCGATTGCCAAGCAGAAAACTCAGTATTTAGGTATTTATAACATAATTATTTACTTTGATTATTAATAATATCATTTATTCAAAAAAAAAATCAACACAATTGAGAGTAAAAGAATTATATGCTTAATTTAATTTTATTAATATTACAATTTACATTTTATTACGTTAATTATTTAATTTGATTTAGTATAAATTAATTACACTTCGATTAAAATGTATTATATAATATATAGCTCATACAGCTTATCAACGAAATTCAATTCAGTTATTATTGTTATTATTCAAAGTTTTTATTGCCGTTGAATTAATTACAAATTTCAAACCTCACAATTAATTCTTTTAAATAATTATATCAAAAATGTTCTCACATTTAACAAAAAGAAAAACAAACACAAATTCCAAAACATTTCCTCTAAATAACAACTTTTCCTCAAACAACAAGCGTCGCATTTGATTAAATTCCAAAAAAAAATGCAAGTTCTCGTTTTAAAGATAACCAAAAGGAAAGAAAATGAAAATAGAAAAATAAATTATTCATTGATAAGTTAAATATGCCATAAGTTGGCTTTTTAACGCTCTCACTTTCAGCGCCTTTTAATGCGGCCACTTAATCATTGGAGAGACCTCTCTCTAACCCATTTGCATTTGCATTTGCATTTGCATGCGCCGCCTGTGGAGCATCTCGTCTGAACAATATGAAAATTAAAAACCCTGTTCACACCCACCGAAGCGTCGGAGTTGTCACGGCGACAGGAAACCGCACGGACAGAAACCACGCTTCCAACTTATATCGAAAAAAATATATACCATATATAAAAAAAGTAAAAGCAACAACAAGAGAAAAAAACATATGTCAATAAAAATCTTTTAGAAATTCATTTGCATAATGCAGTCAAAAGGG